GAGGCGTGACCACGCGGGGGACCAACACGGCAGAGTCGGAGTGTGGGCACAAACAGTCGTTTCTCTGGACCTGCTGTTGGGTGTCCTTTCCAGGGCCCCCCACATTGTGTCAGAAATGTCTTAGGATCCCCATGACGTGGCTGCTGTGCTTTTACGCAGTCGGCCTCTGGGCACCACCTGCCGTGCACGTGGACTCACGCCGAGTGCCGGCGGCCGTGAAAACCACGCGATAAAGATCTGAACGAGAACCGTGCACCAGACACTCGCGTCGTCACGTCCGACCTGGGGGTAACTCTGGCCGGACGCTGAGCCCGCCATGTAGGGCCCTGACCCCTCTCCAGTCCTCGCCACACAGCCACACTGATCTGATGGCCAACCCATGTCACACCCCGTTACCCCAAACGCTGCCGACGTTGGCCACTGACGGAAAGCTCTAGAGAGCTGAAGCCAAGGGCAGCTGCACGTGTGGCGGGGAGTCTGTTCGCCAGGCGCCCACTGGGGACAACTGCTCCCCAGTGCAGGGGCACCGTCCCGGGTTCCCCGAGGGGGCTGGCCGGGCTGGGGCCCGCGCCCCGGCCTACCTTGTAGAGGGCTGACATGGACGCGGAGCCCACCACCAGGGCGATGCCGATGACGGCGTGGCTGTGGAAGCCATCTGCGTAGGTCATCATCACAATGCCCGCGATGGCGAGGATGGCGGCCACGATCTGGACGGAAAGAGGAGGGCGGTCAGGGCGGGGGCGGGGATCCGGACGGCCAGCGCGGCAGAAACGTTCGCGAGAGGTCAGTGACGTGAGGGACGGTCTCCTTGTCGGTCCTGCTTTGGAGAACAGTACACAAAGGCTGCTCCCGGCTCCATGTTTGTCCCGGCTTTGACGGGGACAATTAGCCAAGACTGGCATGGCCAAAGAACCCCAAACAACCGGCAGCAAGGAGGGGTGCCACGGCTTAGCCGTGCGTGGTGGCTGATCCGGTGATGGTAACTGGTCGTGACAGGGCCTCGCAGACAGCACCTGGCGATTACCTCTTAGTAACCCGCCCCCAACCTTCTGAGAGCACCCACGTGATCTCGTTCTAGGTATTTCCTATCTCGACAGGCAGGTCTCGGCCCCACTGTACATATCAGCAGTAGGGTCTTGGGACAGAGCATGCACCACCTGCCCATCAGAGCCACAGACCGTATCCTAACCCTGGAGGTACAGTCCCTTTTCTTAGGGGCTGCTGGGCTCTCCCCCCACAACCCACCCGCAATCCTGTTCTCGTCTGTTTGAATGGGAGTGTGGGGAGAGGCACGCATCCCTGCTGAGTGAAGGTCAGTACTGGGGTAACCCCTCCCAGAAGAGAAGGGTGTTAGCTCGGAGGCTAAGGACAAGGTCGTGGAGCTACATTGGTGTCGCTGGGGGCCGGCGGGGGTGCGGGGGGCCGAGCACAGAGAGGGTCAAACGACCGTGTGCAGTGCAGTTTCAGCGCTGGATTCACGGAGCGTTTTACCTACGGCTCCTTCGCAGTGACCTCAGCCGCGTGTGTCAAAGAGCTACGACCGACGAGCAGCTCTGGGGTGAGCGCGCTCTGCGGATTCTCTCGCTGACCCCTCCGAACGGGTAGGTATCATCATTCACTTCGCTTTACAGACGTGAAGACGGGCTCGGACGGGGTAAGGAACTCACCCGCGTCACCGAGCAGGTGTGTGGCGGAGCCGGGAGACAAATTTCAGGTCCGTCTGCACGGTCAGGGTTTACACACGTGAACACGAAGCACGGGTCACACAGGCCGCCGCCCCTGTGCTCTGAGGGCTGCACTGAGGTGTCCTTTACGGGGTGAATGTGGTCGAGTCTCGCCCCGGGTCTGAGTGACGCACTTCCTCCAGCGTCTCCCTCCTGCGAGGCTCTCATGTGACGCACCCACCCCCAAGACAGAGGCTCCCCACGGAGCACGTGATCAGCCTTCGGCAGGAAGCGCCCTGCAATTCACCGTCAGTCACCAGCACCTTCCGCCTCACCTGCCGCGTGCATTTCGTGTTCAAATGCTACGCGTGCCGTGCACGACGGTCCGTCAGAGAGAGGAACCGAGATAGCGAGACCACGAGAACCAGGAAGGACGGGGGAAAAGCCGGCGGGACAGCAGGGTGGCTTCTGCTCTGGAGGACACAGGTCACGCCAGGATGCCACTCGGGACAGCCCGGCCTGGCGAGGCGTCAGCGTGACCCGGAGGAGAATGAGAGAAAAGGGAGAGACGCGGGGGAAGAAAGCAGGTAACTCGCAGGTGAGCCGCGGACCCCGAAGGGACCTGAGCCCTTACAAACTCGGGGCTGAGGTTCGAGGACACGAAGCGGGAGGCGGTGGCCTTGCCCTTGAACCCCGCGAGGCGGACCTCCAACCGCTCCTCCCTCTCCGCCGACTGAACCACCGCCAGTTGAGGCGTCGGCCGGAGCCATGCTCTGCCGGGAGAAGGGGTGAGGGGCAGAGAGGGCGGCCAGCAGCCTTCCGGTGACGTCTGAGGAGCCCAGTCCTCGTGACAGGGTGGCACTGGGGGACAGTGATCCCCCCATTCATGCTTCTACACGGCTCGGGAACAGGGCCTGAGAGGCGACCCTTAAGCCTGACGTCCCACGGGAGAGTCCAGTCTACGTTCAAACAAGTGAGCATTTTACCGGCAGCGTGCGAGGGTCCTTGCTCTAGGACGTCACGTCTGCCTTGTGAGCCCGCGTGTCCCTCGCCTTCTAAACCTGGCTGTCCCTGGGCTGGGGTCCCTCGTTCCCCACACCTCTCCTTTCTCACTCCCTCCTGCCCCCCCACGTCCCACTAGGCTCTCCTGAAACAAGGGCTCGGGGATCCAGACTGATGGGGCCAGCGGCCTTGAGACCAGGAGGGGGAACAGGAGCTGGGGGCGAGAAAGGAACGAGGCCGGGGGGCCACTGGTGCTGGCACCCTGCTTAGCACCATGCCGGTGACCTGTGTGGCCCCTGGGGCTGCGACGGCACATCCCCCACGGCCAGACTCCCCTGCCGGGGGCCGGGGAGGGGAGGGGGTCAGTGAAGTCTGGCTGCCCCTCGGACTAGCGCTGCTCCCAACTTCTGCCGAACACGTGACGGGCTGCACAGACAGCCCCACTGGTGACACTTTTGCAAAATGAACAGGGGAAAGAACAGACTAATCTCTGAATATACTTCCCCTGGCACTTTCCGTCCCAACTCCTGGACCGTTCTCAGCGACTCAAAGACGATTAGCGTTCGGAGGGAACTGTGAGGTCCTCTAGTCCGTCCCTCTTATTTCGGAGACAGGAGAGGGGCCTGGGACGTGGCCCCCAGCCCTTAGTCCTCCCCCATGCTGTGCTCGGGGGACAGGGGACAGCCTAACGGAGGGAGTGAGAACAGCAGCTGGAGCTAGGGTTCAGGGACGGCCCCGGGCAGCCCCAAACGCCGGCTGCCATCTCAGACCAAACCGGTCGTGGGACAGTCCAGATCCCTGGGGCTGTGCTGGTGGCCTCAGCCTGTCTGCTCGCCGCACTGCACCCCGCCCCCCGGTTCGTCCCCCCTGCTTTGAAAGCCGGCTGTAGTGGGTGCTGATGGCCAGGCAGCCCCACCTTCCGCTCCCCCGGGCCCACAGGCTGGGGACGGTCTCGCCCACGTGCCTTTCTTGCGCCAGCTGCTGCCCCCAGCTGGGTGGGCTTGGCTTTAGGATGGGCCAGGTCCTACTTGCTCTCACACGCTGTCACTTTTGCTACACGAAGCCACCTCCCTGCACGGTGGCCGATTCTTACTGTCAACGTGAGAATCAGGAACCTCCATCCAACCGCTCTACCTGGACAAAGGGAGCACGTACCGAGATTCACGGGCCAGGCGTGCGTCACCATTTAATTCTCACGCCTGCCCTAGGAGACCAGTATGAACGTCCTATTTTGCAGTGAGGTAACCAAGGCTCAGAGCTGTTCGGCAACTCGCTCGAGGTCCCGCAGCCTGAGCGTGGACCCACGATCCACACCTGACCCCAGACCAGGTCTCCGGCCGCGGCGCTGGACGCCCCAGGTCTGAGCAGCCATGAAGCACGTGGGGAGCGTGTCTAAGCTCACAGCATCGGGCGGCACCAGGCCCGTATCCTGCAGGCCGTGCGTGGCCGGGATCGCCCAGCGTCAGATGGTCCTGCTTCTCTCTGGTCCGTCCCCCCGACAGGGACCTGTGGCTGTCTTCCCAGAACTGCAGCCCCGTGAGCTGAGTAACCGTCCTGATAACACGAGTCCCCTCTGCCGCCTGCGCCACAAACGTGATGCTGAGGCCCCACCACGCTCTTCGTGACGGGGTGACCCCAGCCTGTACACTCAGCCTTCCAGGGCGGGGACAGGGTCAGTCCCCTCTGCCCTTGGCAGCCCCCCGGGGGATAGGGGGTGGTGCTGGCTAAGCCGGCACCCGAGAACGGCCTGGGAGACCTGTGCACCGGTCAGACACACCCTGAGCGCGGTGCCCCACCTGTGCGTCAAGGGCCGCCTCCCAGTCACCCGGCCAGCTGCTGGTGTCTCAGGTTTTCCTAGCTCTCTGCAGCTTTGGAGAAGACGGAAACCCACCCCGACCTGTAGTGACAGGTCACACACCTCTAAGAAGAGTAACGAGCATCAGAGAGACCAAAATTCCATCACCAACACCAGCTCCTTGGACGAGTGCTGGCCTAGTACCAAAGCTTCAAGTCAAAACTTTGTCCAGGATTCAGGGCTCGGCACGGAGCAAACAGACACGATGGCCAGGATGGCCAGGCTGCATCGGTCAGGGACACTCGGGGCGACCCTCTCAGCCACTTTCAGCCGTACAGATCGCTAAACATCAAGTATTTTCACACCTCCTTCTCCTAATCTCAAAAAATCTGCTTTTTTCTGCTTATGTGCAGAATTAACCTTGAAACTTCTCTTCCCAGTAATGGTCTCACGTGGAATTTGCTCTGGACATCAGAATCACGCCCAGAACGTTCCATGAATTCCCTTAGCTCTTTGCCTCACAATGAAGTCACGAAAGGGACACGTCGGTGGCATGGGCCCCAGGACGTCCGCGCCTCCGGTGCCCAGCCGGGCAGGCTGTCTGGACTACTGCCGGAAGTACCTGCGTTTCTTGGGAAGATGCGTTTATTTGCTGAAAGCTTTTCTGGGTGGGAGCGCACAGAGTTTTTACTCCAAAATTAACTCTAAGCCTCAAAACAAAATTCCCCCCACTGCAAGCTAAAAATGCTGCTCAGCAGTTGACTCATGTCCCCACTGCCGTTTGAGGAACTAGAGTCGTTTATTTGCTGAAAGCTTTTCTGGGTGGGAGCGCACAGAGTTTTTACTCCAAAATTAACTCTAAGCCTCAAAACAAAATTCCCCCCACTGCAAGCTAAAAATGCTGCTCAGCAGTTGACTCATGTCCCCACTGCCGTTTGAGGAACTAGGTGGGTGTGACTCCGCCACTAGGGTGATGTCACCATTCCCAGGACAGTGAGCCAAGGACACACCGAGGGGCTGGAGTCGGCCTCTTGCTGGGAGCCAGCGAGGCCATGCTGACGGGACCGCCCACGCAAAGGGCTCCGAGCTTCGTGGCCAGCCAGCCTGGTCCCAGGGCAGAAGGAGTGACGGGCAGGCTCTGACCGCCAGAGGACTAGCGACAGTGGAATCCTTTTTGTCCTTTCTGGGGGCGAGGTGATGACGGGCCGGAGCAGCTCCCGGCCACCAGAGGGAGACGAGCAGAAGCCACGAGGATTCCGTTAGGGCTAAATGCCACCTGGTCCTTTTAGTCAGGGTGAGTCCCTCCATGCTCCAGGTGACGTTTGATAGTGCACTTACCACATTTCGTACAACTGTGATGAAATCTGACTAGCTAAATCTGACCCAACGTGAATAAAATTCACTAAACCTCGGTTGCAACAACAAGAGATAATTCCAGAGATCTAGTTTCAGTCCCCCTTCGTCTGCGGCATGAGGGACGTGGAAGTGACCCCCGCCCCCACCCCGCCGTCCCATGTGGATTCCGCACAAGTGTGTCCGGCCCACTTTGCACGCGTGGCCCAGACAACGGGCTGAGACTGCGCGTGGGGACGGAGAGGGGCCCCTGGGCTTTGGCTACGTCTGCGCAGAGGGTGGTGCTGTCGGCGGAGCGTGCCAGGCGGCAGGTGCACCGCCGCCCGTGACAGCGAGATGAGCGCGTCCCCATCCGGCACGCACTTCAGGGAACGCCTGCCGAGATGCTTGAAATGAAAGGCGCTCTGGCGAAAGCTTGTCCGGTGTGGTTTGCAAGCAGGAAGGGCTGCCAGGCGCACCGAGCACCGGGCCTCTGCCGGGCTCCGGCTCTGCCGCGAATCAGAAAGCGTGTGGCCCAGCGCGCGAGCCAGGCAAGCTGGCGGGCGGGGGACAGAGAACGAGGCACTTACCCTCACTCCCATGAACCTGTCCCTGAGAACGATCCACGAGAGCAAGAACACAAACGCTTTGTTGCAGCAGAAGAGGGCGGAGGCGTCCGTGGTGTTAATTTTCTTTACTGCGTGTAAGTACAGGTAGTTCGTGAGCGTCCACAGCACGCCGAAGGGCGCTGCCCGGGTACAGAACACCTTCAGAGTCAAGCCTTTGTCTCCGAAGAAGCGACAGCATTCCCTAGAACAGGAGAGAAGGCAGTGTCACTACATCCGTGGGTGGGGACGGGCCCGCGTTCCCTAAATCCCGCCTTTTTTAAAGAAAATGTGTGTGTGGGGGGATTTTTCTAGCCGTTATTGGTTATAAATGTCTTTCCAGTAAAGCTCTTCGACCTATCGCTTTAGTTCACGGAAGGAAACGTCGCACGAGGCTTTGGTGTCACGGCTGCTCCTGCGCCGGGCAGGAACCGGCTGCGACAGGAGGCTGTGCCCCGACCACCCGGGCAGGGGGCCCGGCTCCGCGGACGGGGGCGGCGATCCGATCTGCCACTTAATCGGGAGGAGGAGGGGGCGCTAGATTACTATTTTTTTTGAGGGGAAGGGTGGGTACTTGAAGAGAACACATCGAAACATAGTTTTAAAAAATCTGCCCCAAACTGGACCTGCCCTGGGCATCAGGCAAGGGCAGCCGCTCCCTGGGCTGATCCCTTCTGGCGACGGGACAAACGGTGTTAACCATCTCTACGTCTTCTCCGCGAGGCCCTGTTTAGAGTCCGTTTCTCTACCGCGTGGAAGGCCGCAGCCCCGCACCGAGAGGCCGAAGAAGGAAAGAGCAGATCCGGGGGTTCGGCATCCTGAGCGGGAGCGAGGGAGGAGACGGCCGCAGGGGACAACTTTTCCACGCTGTTCCGAAGTCTGGGGCGGGACCAGCGATGGCCGAGAAACCATTTAGAAAAGTGACGCCAACTCCCCATGCGCAGGCGGCAGAGGCGGCCGCGGGCGGGGGGCACAGAGAGGCGCTCGGCCACAGCCAGGCCAGGCCCGGAGACGGACAGGCGAGGACTGGCCGCTCCTACAGCCATCGGCTGGGGGACAGGGCTCGGGGACAGGGCTCGGCGCACGGATGAGCCAGCGAGCGAGGGCGGGTGGATCTTGGTTCTAATGAAACCAAGATGATTGGCCCCTGGGCCAGAGCCTTGTGCTGCTCTAAGGCTGTGGTGTGCACTGACCCACGTCAGCCGGCTTGCTCGCATGTACCATTGAGCACAAGGGGAACCCAAGACAGAGGATAGAGAGAAATCCATTCCTGCCAGAGACAGAGGTGAGTGCAGCAGATGCTCTGACCTCCTCCTGACAGGACAGCCCGAGGCCCCTCACTCCTGGGCAGGCTGAAGGCCGAGGCTGGCAGGTGACTCTCCAGCATGCCCAAGCCTTTTGGTTCCTACCGACCGAGCTGTGCGTTGGCCAAGATTTAGATGTGCTTTTTTCCAATCCTATTGTGCCAATTGTCCTTAGTAATTTCAATTGCATAATTCGATTAAAAATTTCCTAAACCAATGAGATCTGAGTGAATAAAGAAAGTTGTTTTTCCCATGCGATCCAGGTTGAGAGCTTCGGGGAAGACTCGAGGAAAGCAAGTCGCTAAAACATCACTACTGGATTAGGTAAGAATGGAGCACTGCAAAGACAGCGAAGCTGTAACAACCTGTAGGTTCTACACTCGTGGTGACAGACACCTGCCGCCTTGACATTCTCTAAACAATGCTTCCCGACGGCCTGGCGTGCTGGCGTTAGACGGGCTTATCATTCACTTCGGATCAACAGGACTTGTTTGTCACTTGTTAAATTCACAATTCTAGACGAGGCGCTGTGGCTGCCGCAGCAAGCGAACAGTCCCTGCTCCCGAGGAGACCGTGGCGGGACTGGGAACGTAGACGGATTCGTCCGTGGGAGGCAAGTTCGAACACCTATCACGTGGCGTGGGGCACAGCAGTGCCACAGAAGCCCAGCCCCGTGCGGACAGTGGGCTCACGGGAGGAGCCTCCCTCACAGCAGGTGTGGATTTGGAGCTGCGCCTCGAAGGAGAGGTCGAGCTCAGACAGTGGGGGGTATATCCTTGGAGAGATAAGAGGACCAATTCTGCCCATGGAAAAAGAACAGATGGCTATAAAAAGGAAATAATCTTGGAAATTAAACAGAAAATTTAAATTAAAATTAAATAGACAAGTTGAAATATAAAGAGAAAAAAATTAAAGGTTAAGCCAGAATGTCCAATTATGAACTAAAAGAAACTCCAGGAAGAAGAAACAGAAAAAATGAAGTGAAAGAAACCTCGAGAGAAATAATTCAAGAAAGTTGCTTAGAACTACGGAACGTGAGGCTTCTTAACGAAAGGCCCGCCGAGCACCGAGCAAAATGAACAAAGAACCACGACAAGGCACACGCCTGTGACGTGAGGAGATAAAGACTTAAAAGCTCCAAAGAGAAATAACACACAGGTTAAGGGAGAGGAAATCATCATAGCATCGGACATCTCGACGACAGAAACGCAAGGTCGGCAGTAGTGGCCTTAACGCTTTTCAAGAAAACAATTTCAAGCCAGAATTCTAAAACCAGCCAACTGGCGGTCGCATGGGAGGGCCGAGTAAAGACACTCGTATCGTCCCCCAAGCAGCCAGAGCAGCGGCTGCCGCAGACAGACTGGGTGCCAAGAAAGAGGGTGCCGTGGTGGCCGCTGTCAGGGGCGTCTCCAGGGCCGTCTGGGGCTAAGCACGCCCGGGGAAGCACTGATAGGTTTCTGAGGTGGTGGGACGTTGAGAAAGAAACAGCAGTCATGAGCAGAGACCGCAGTGCATGAGGCCGGAGAGGCAAACACTGTGGCAGGGTGAAGGACAGGCTGCTCGCGAAGGGGACGGTCGGTCAGCAGCACGTGCGAGCATAAGACGACGAAAACACTCGCAACCCCAAATCGGCATGGCACTGGACTGGAGGGGGCGGGGGCCGTGGGGGAGCGGAGGGACGGAAATCAGGTGAGGCTCTGTGACCACGGAAGTTCAAATTCATTCAGGTAAGTGGCATAAAAACCAGAGGAACCACCCGCAAGAACAGGGAGCGAGCAGGGGTAAAGCAAGAGTGGCTGTTTTCTATAACTTTTTAAACTACTGTTTTGATTTTCTGAAGCGTGCACACCTGCATTAGCTGCTAAAAATAAAAACTACTTCAGATGGCGTGAGAGGGGTCGGGGCGCCGTGGCTGAGACGCCAGTGACAGCTCTGAAGAGCGGGTACAAACCAGATAGGGAGAAGCTCTGCAGGTTGCAGGCGGCGGCGGTGGCCCAGACGGTTACGTGCCACCCTCTCGTCCAGGGGTGGGGCAGCCAGCCCTGCAGCCCTTGCTCGCTCCTCGCGAACACTCCCAAAGACGCCTTCTCTACTTTTTGGGACCCTTTCTGTCACCATGTAAACATGTCTAAGCCTCGCCGACCTTAAAACATCCCCCACGGCAAGAGCAAGCATCCGGTCCGCCCTCCCGTCTCTTTCAGGACCAGACCTTGCGGAGTCGTTGTCTGTCCCCGTGCCCCCTGTGCCCGCCTGTCTTCAGCTCGCTCTAACCCGGTGTCCGCCCCCGCCACTCATCCAAGTCCCTAGAACCGTCACTCAGGACCTCGGGGTGCTAAACCCGCCCTTGGGAGTCTCTGACGCTGGTGAGCGCCCCTCCCCGAGACACGCTGCTCGGCCCGCGACCCCGTCGCCCTCTGCCTGTCCTCGCCCTTCCGAGGCCTCCTCCACGAGCCTCCCCCAGACTCCCCCAGGCCGCCCTTCTTGTTTCTCCTCCTTCGACCCTGTGGACGGCCACCGAGCCGCCTCGCCAGCCATCCTGGTTTCAAAGCCCAGGGGGACGACTCTCTAGCCAAGACTTCCAGACGCCCAGCCTCCTTCCCGATCGAGCACCACGTCGCCCGCTCAATCCTCAGCAAGCTGCGGCTCCACGTTCGTACTTCCCCCCAGGCCAGCAAGCTGGGGCTCATTCCTCACTCCCTTTCCTCTTCATCGTCATGGCCTACGGATCATTTCTCCCGAGGATCTGGTCCCCACGGCCACGACCCGGGCCGGGCCCTGCCCCTCACCTGAGCGTCTCTTCCCACTGCCGTCTCTCCCCGAACTCAGCCCACCCACGCCCCACGCCACCGTCGGAGGCCTCCTGCCCCCCACTCTCCCTTGGGGCAATGGCCAAGCTCCCCACAGGGCCTTCCTGGACTTGGCCCGTCCTTCGGCCCTGGCCATCTGCACCCTACTCTCAGCCGAAGCCGCCTCGAGCTCATTTCGGTTCCACGAATTCCGTGCTCGTTTTTCATGTGCTCTGGGCCTTCGTGGATTCTCGATTCCCTTTTTCTGAAACACGTCCTTTTTGCTTCTTTCTTTGGCTGCATTCTTTCCATCCACGGGCCATCGGCTCAGACATCCTCTGGGAGTCACGTACCTATGTGGAACTGGGGCTGCTGTCTGCATAGATATGTATCTGCGTAGATATTCTGCATAGACTGGGGCTGCTGGATATACTGAGAGAGTCTCAGCCATTCCCTTACTACTGAATACTATATTACTCCCAAGTTTCCCTATTATAATAAAAAGGTGGTAGATACACTCATTCTTATAGTTTTCCAGAAACTCTAGAATTTTCCCTAAAGAGCAACTGCATTCATAATAGAATGATGGGGGGTTTAGAAATGACCCAAGTGTCATTTACGAAACCCGCTAGAGACTCACGTGATCGGGCGCACCTGTGCAGTGGACTGTGTCAGAACGAGAACGGGGTCCAGCCCCCGGGATGCACTTGGTTCTCGTTCTGCACGTAAGGGGTCGTTCCCCAGACTTCAGCACATATTGAAGGATTTTACTGAAAGACGGACGGCAGAACAGCCTAGAAGCATGGCATGTTCCCTGAGCCCGTGCCATTATCTTCATTCACAGTATCCACAAGCAGCTTTTAAGGTGGTTGTAAAAATACTGACTCCGGTGTTAGCGGGAAGGTTGGACTCTATGAACTTGAATGTGTTTTCAACTTTGAGATCCTGAAATTAGAAAATACAACCTTCTGACAGGCAAAAGTCACAGTGGCATCCAATGACGAGTAGTGGACCACGGGGTACACGTTTACACCTTTCTTTTACACTTGCATTTATTAGAGCTTTAAGCTGACAAACGGCAGAGACAAGTTACCAAAGTTACGAATTAAGCTTAAAAAAAAAAGTTCAGACATCATCTGAAAAGCGTTATGTGAAATGGTTTCCCCATGTAACCTGCTCACGAGGAAGTGACACTGTGTTTGCATCTCCCACGGGGATGTTTCAGTGTGACACATCTTCTCGCCACAGAATCCTTGCACGTTAGAATCACGTTGTAAACATAACTAGCCTAAACATAAAGAAGATGATCCTTTACAGCGTAACGAGAAACACTGAATCATTTTATTAGCTCGATTCTTCCAAGGTAAGTTTTCTGAGTGTCCAGTAGCGTGTTTTGTTAACAGTGAGTTCCATAATTGTCTATATGTCTGACTGCATCTGTCCATCCGTCCATCCGTCCATCCATCCATCCATTCATCCAGTTATTGGTGAGTTCTGAAAACACACGCCCAAGAGATTTAGGAGTACAGAAAACACGGCTTCTCGGAGGTTGGTGGCGACGTCCTTTTTGGGGAGGCATCTGAGGGCACTGACAGCATATGAAGAATTTTGTTCCCTGAGATTCTCCCCCAGGAATGATGCAGCCTTCGCCACGTCTGGGCGAAGGAACATTTAAGAGGCAGATTGCATCCATGTCCCACTAACTAGGAATTTCACAGCCTCCTCCACAGGAATCTGTTCTGTTTGGGGCTCAGCTAACGGTTATTTTGCAAGCACGATCAAACAGCAGAAGCATCTGGAAAGTGCAGAGAGCGCTCGAGCCCCGTGCGGGGTCCTGGCTGCAGGGCTCCCGGCTAACCCGCGAGTTACCATGACGCAGCGACGCAGTCTTGTGTTTCGGGCCACAGGTCGGGACGGAAGCAGCAAAGACAAGACGGTCAAGTGCGTCCACTCACG